ACTTAAGTCAAATGACACCGGTCAATCTAGTAATTATTCGAATTCAAACGCAAATCGGTCGGTACAAGTAATTAAAAACTCGAATAATAACGTACGTTTAATTACAGAAATTCATGATGAACACATTACTTGTAATTCGAGTTCTTTTATTAACAAAACGGCTAAATTACTAATCGATAGCGGATCACAGTTAAATATTGTGAAAGTTCAGACACTTAAAAAATGATTAGAGCAATAAGATGTTATAATAATTATGATAATAATAATATGATTATTAAAAAGAGGAGGAGTGGCCGAGTGGGTAAGGCGGCAGTGTGTTAGCGCTCACTGTCGCCGGTTCGACACTCGGTCACAGGCGCTCCGTTTGCTGGGCGAGCAATCGTCCGGTAAAAAGGAACCGCCATCCCCCTCTCCGGCGACGGATTGACGACCTGTCCCGGAAGCGAATTCGTCAAGAAACCCATCTCATGATGGCAGCGTTGGGCCTTCATGGCCCGTTAAGCTACATGATGATGATGATGATGATAATGATTATTAAAAAAAAAAAAAAAAATATATGGTTATGGACATCGGCGGGGGGACGTTCAGCTGATGGTGACGGCGGCGGATCGCTATTTGGCTGCTCTGGCCCGTCTTATGTAGCCTGAGTAGAGTGGACCTCCCAGTCCACGGTCACTAACGCCGGTAGCTCCTCTGTATAGCGTAGAATAAAAATATTAATTACTGTTTATAAGAAAATAGATAAAAATTTACTTACCCCCCGGCGGAGACTGTCCTACGACGATGAAACTCGTCCCTAGCATCTCCATCTCTATGGTGATGCCCGACCCAAGACCTTTGTATCCGTCGGCGAGGTATTGAACCGCTCGTTGTTTTTGTGAATCGTTCATGATTCCGGATACTGAACTGATACTAAAACACAAGTGTTTTTGGGGGGTAAAGAATAAAAAAAAAAACGTTGATCCTCGGAATTATTGGCTTGGGTTTATTGGTTACAATTAATTTAAACCTAATTAAAAAGTGGTCTGAACAAAATTGCGACCAGGTGAAATATTATATCAGCCGGCTCGTGTCTCAAGACGGCGAACCTGATAATTATTCGGGGGCGTCGATAACGCAATAAACATGAAATTTTGCATTTGTCCGATAAAAAATTGTTATAGCAATAGCATAGTTAAAAAAAAATTTCACCTTCGATTGGTTAATTTTTTGCCACGAGCAGATGGCTAAAAAATGCACTATATAACTAGCGAAAACGGTCGAATGACGTACAGTTTGTTTCAACAATGTCTGACGAAAGCGACACGCCACACAGATACAGGAGGCGCCGAAATTACTTTGACGACTATAGCGTAAGTACAAACGTATTTTAATATAAACAGCTTGATGAACTTTATGGTTGATGTTTAGACCGATGACGAAGAGTATGCTCGGCCAATAGAGCTATCTTTTTCAACAAACTCACCAGACATGTTTGCCGAGTCAGGCGTGGGGTCGGATATTTCTTCGGGAATAATTGACCTCTGCGATGACTCGGATGATGATGATGTGGTCGAGAGGCAGCCTATTTACTTGGAAGATCAGGGCGTTTTAGAAAAAGTATTTGGTGAGTTATAAACCGATAAAGAGTACTGAAATAGGGTATAATTAATTTTTTTTGCACTACAGCCGAAGAATGGGATTATGTTCCCAGCATATCAACAATCCAACCAAATGATGAGCAGGCAACCATCGATGCGATATTTGGTAAACAAAAAAACATATAATTATACGTTCTGAGAATCTAAATATATATTTTAAATATAGATCAAGAAGACCCGTTTGCCGTTACTACTGCTGCTAATGCTGCTGCTGCTACTGGTAATATATCGCCCAGCCCTCCGAGTCCAGATTTTGACCCCAGCCAAGCCAGGGGCCTGGATGATGAAGTTGTGCAGTTGGAGCAGCAAATTGAACAAGCTGTTTCATCGGACGAGGCGCGGCAAACAGCAGCTCAGTCCAGGCGAATAGAAAAAAACCATCGGCCAGGCGGAAATTAAATTAAAAAAAAAAAAATGCGATTTGTAAAAAAAACATGTATATTTATTATTATTAAAAAAAAAACAATTGTGTTGGATAATTTTTTTACACATACCTTATACACATGTTGATATATTTTGCTAAAACCGAAAAAAGGTGCTGACTTAAATTTAATATCTGGACTAACTCGCCCGATATGTTTGCCGAGTCAGGCGTGGGGTCAGATATTTCTTCGGGAATAATTGACCACTACGATGACTCGGATGATGATGTGCCCGATAGACAACCAATTTATGTTGAAGACCAGGGTGTTTTAGAAAAAGTATTTAGTAAGTTAAAAAACGGAAAAAAAGTAATGAAATAAATAATAATTAAGTAACAATTAATTTTTTGCACTACAGCCGAAGAATGGGATTTTTTGCCAAACAAACGAGGAGCAGGCGACCATCGACGCATTATTTGGTAAACAAAAAAAAAACATATAATCATACGTTCTGAGAATCTAAATATATATTTTAAATATAGATCAAGAAGACCCGTTTGCTGATGCTGCTACTGCTGCTAATGTATCGGTCCGCCCTCCGAGTCCAGATTTTGACCCCAGCCAAGCCAGGGGCCTGGATGACAAAGTTATGCAGTTGGAGCAACAAATCGGGCAAGATGATTCATCGGACGAGGCGCGTCAAACAGCAGCTCAGTCCAGACAAATACGGGCGAATAGAAAAAAATCATCGGCCAGGCGGAAATTAAATTAAAAAAAAAAAAAATGCGATTTGTAAAAATAAACATGTATATTTATTATTAAAAAACAATTTTATACATTACATCAAACAATTGTGTTGGCTAATTTTTTTACACATACCTTATACACACACATGTTGATATATTTTGCTAAAACCAAAAAAAAAAAAAGGTGCTGACTTAAATTTAATGTCTGGTCTCTGTATACGGTTAAACATATGTACAATGTATTGTTGTTGCACCGTCAATAATTATGGGGAATCGTTTTTTTGATTCTTTACCCCAAAAGCACCTGTGTTGTTGTTATGTTTTTACTAATAAGGTCACTTTTAAATCGGTGGGAAAGAATTTTTTCTCTGAAATCATCGGGGGCCGGATTCACAGTGGAGATCGGTTTTTAGTTTCAGTTCAGTATCCGCAATCAACATCATGGACGATTCACAAAAACGACGGGCTGTTCAATACCTCGCCGCCGGTAAGTTGCAATTTTTTTTTTATGTTTTCAATTTTCATTTCGATTAAAATTTTTTTCAATTTTTTTTTTCCTGTAGGATACAAAGGCTTAGGATCGGGCATTACAATCGAGATGGAGATGTTGGGGACGAGTTTCCTCGTCGTTGGCCAGTCGCCGCCGGGGGGTAAGTCAATTTTTTTTTTTTTTATCTATTTTCTTATAAACAGTAATTAATATTTTTATTCTACGCTATACAGAGGAGCTACCGGCGTTGGTGACCGTGGACTGGGAGGTCCACTCTACTCAGGCGACGCAAGACGGGCCTGAGCAGTCAACTAGCGATCCGCCGCCGTCGTCACCATCGGCTTAACGTCCCCCAGCCGATGTCCATAACCATTTTTTTTTTTAAATAATCATATTATTTTTTTTTTTTAATAATCATATTATTATTATTATATCATCGTATTGCTCTAATCATTTTTTATATTTTCTTTATTCACCTTTTCTTAATTGCTCTAATCATTTTTTTATATTTTCTTATGGGTTGTGTGTATACAAGTGTACGCATTTGAGTATGTTTTATAATGATATTATATATCAATCAAACGGATAAAGGTAACCAACACTTTTTTGTAAAAGGTATATACTACATTTTACGGGTTGCGTGTATACAAGTGTACGCATTTGAGTATGTTTCATAATGCTATTATATCAATCAAACGGTCAAAAGGATAAAGGTAACCAACACTTTTTTTTTTGTAAAAGGTATATACTCCATTTATTGTGATACAGGTAAACAATTTTTTTTTTTACAGTAAACTATTGCAAATGGTTTTAGATTATTAACAGGCGAGTCATATTTTTTTTTTTTTTAAAGTAAACTATTGCAAATGGTTTTAGATAATTAACAGGCGAGTCATATAACAGATATTCTAAAAAAAAAATATTTCATCAATCGAATAAAAAAACAAACACACCAATACACATCCGTCCAATGGTCTGGCATATTGTTTTAAATTTTTTTTTCTTCGTCGTCCGAGAAGTACAGGCGCGAGTTCAAGGTTTTCAATAGCTTCAGTCGCACGCTATCGCTAACGTGTACGTGTGGCACTCTCACAACGCTCATATGGTTTCTTGAATCACAAGCAATAGATTCCGTATAAGTAGCGAAACGCTTTATGGAAGCAATCGTTGAAGTGGCCACAAATATAAGTGCGCTACTTCAGAAAAATACAGAAATCAAATTTAGTGATGTACAAGCTATTGGATTTATAATTAATATTCTATATGTCAGGAAGTATTTTGCAATATATAAATATGTTGTTTATCTATATAATAAAAATACGTAGTTAGTTAACCAGGAAATGTTATTGAAAAACAAAGTCCTTTTTGTAAGCACACGTGTATCTGTAGACGCGTGCGACCTTGTGGCTTAATTCAAATAGCATTTGATCTAAGGGCTCGGGGCTCAGTATTTCTATTCAGTTTATACATATTACTAGTGTATTATTGTTTCACTGTGTTGTATTTATTCTATGTATAATATATCTATTATTTTAACAACTTTATTTGTGTTTTATACCTAATTATCATCTCTACTATTTACTGTACCCTTAGAGCATCCTGAATGTCTCATTTGAAGCTCGGTAGAACTTTACATTACACCTGTATAATTTTCTTAGGGTCAGTTACAGACGGACGCCCCACGCATTCAATTTATAATTTTTATCCAGATGTGCCTAGTGGATATAAACTAACTCAAGTGCCGAATTATCTAGTAAACTATTAACTTAACACGCATTCGTTAAGTCAATTGCAAATTGATTTGATCAAGACGGTAATTTAATAAATCTTCGTAAAGAACCTATTACAATACGATTACATATCCGTAAACGTATGTAAATCATGGGTCTTAAATTTGTTGATATAAATAGTGCTGCGTATAAAAAAATTATCGATATTTTTATGAACCAACCATCACTGCTAGCAGTAGCAACAGCGAAAGCACCACCACCATCATATTGATCACGAAAAATAATTTCCATCAAATGCCGAGAAACATGTTTAAATAAAAAAGTAATTTAGTAATTTAATGTATTTTAATATTAATTTATTAATGTATCACGCATTTTTAAATACGACGAAGTTAATTGTACAATACTTTTTAATTATACAATGAGAAAATATTACATCTTTCGTATTGGTTATGTACTAACGCTCGACCGTCTATAACGTACTAGCTCCCAATGGGTCTGTTGAGCAGCCGTACCAAACAATAGAAACGGAACACTGCATACGATTGGAAAAAACGTTGCAATGTAAAACACAAAGTTCCAATCGAAGTCTTTAACATGTATATTCCTGGCTACAAACAAATCCAGTACGTTGCCCACGGAAAAGAACACATCGCTCAATGCTATCAAACTGCCGGCAAACTCTACAAATAAAAAAATTCATTATAATATCTTGGAAAAAACTAGAAAATGTTTTACACGCAGGCTTCAATGTAAAAGCCGAAAAGTTTTGTTCTCACATTTATGTGTTTTTATTTGTTCATCTGAACTCACAATATCTCCCAAACCGAACGGATTATTAGTTTATTATTCAAACTAATATACTGTATGTATAATATTTTCTACATGATAATGTAATAGATATAAAATACATAGATATGTATGTTTATATTAATAGTATAATATGTAATTTTACAGACGTGTACATAACTTTTATCTATACATTATATTTGAAATAGTATTGCGTTAAAGGTAAATTTAATTTTCCAAAAATGTTTGGTAAACTTAAACTCAAAATAAAAATATTATTTTTATATTTTTCTGAAATATAGGATAAAAGTTAAATTAATCTACGTAAGGAAGGTTTACACAAGTAAGTACTTATAATAATGTTTTAATGAATTATGAAATTTCAATAAGAACAAATTGTTCTATTTAATTTATAACCAAGGATTATATAATTGTTTGTTTATAATAATAATAATAAATATTATCTAGTATTTTACCTTGTGGTACTATTTCATGTCAACGAAAAAGGCAAGTTGTATTCCAAGGCCATGGTTATGTTTCTCTGTTAAAATGGACAAAGTATAATGTAAAGTCAGTCGAGTGGTATTTTGCTAATCGCCCCAACAGTAATTTTAATCCTGAATGTTTTGATGGTATTAACATTCATTCCAAAAAGTCAAAACACACGAACGAAATTCGTTATTGCATTTGGAAGCCACAAAAGTTAGAGCAGTTTGGTTAAAAAATGGTACTATTGATAATAAACTTGAAAAACAAATTTGAAATAAAGCAAAGAACTAGAGAAATATTGAAAAAGAATAATAAAAACCATTTTAACACTTACTGGAGGGAGCACAGCTTTTTCACTTATTTTACGATTATTTTTCAATAAAAATTTTACCGTGATTACCTAAACTTATATTTATTTAACTAAAAACGTAACCAAAAGTGTCCACCACAACATTATGGTAATATATAAGTTGGGACAATTTGAAGAGGGTGTTCCTGTGCAAGAATATTATGTGTATTAGGAAAGAAGAATTGGAGTTCTGTTATCTAATGAGAAAGTAAATATGTAAATGGCATGTAGATAAGAGCAACCCCTAGTAAGTACTGAGAAAGAACCTCAGAAGCCCGGAAAAAGGGTCAAATTACTAATCTAGAATTTTTTGCAGATAAAATGTATCAACGTATTACGATCACCGAGGTACATCGTCCTAGACGTCTTAGTAAGTTAATCCATTAGAAAGTGTCAATCAAAGGATAACAAGTATATGTTAAGTGTATAATGCCTGGCGCTTGATGAACAAAAAATCTCACTGTTAATTCCTGAGCTTCATCACACGCACTCTTAATACTAGATTTTGCCCCATTATACACAGTCCTATTATTTTTCACATACAATTTTAGGACACTTATTAGTTGCCTTATTGCTAAATTCAGGCTACATTTTGACATGTTTATTAAAATCCAACTGGTTATCTGATAGCTCTGTTTCACTCCTTAATCTTTTCTCTACTAATTGTGTTCATATTTGTCATTCATTTTATACCTACAACACATTGTTCGGTATTTATTTTATTCTTAAAAATTAAAACTAGATAATCTAGGATTTTGTTATTCTTAACGCTTCTGGCTTATGAGGCAAATTGATCCTATGCGGTAATTTATAAATTGCCTATCGGGAACATTTTGTTCGAGGGACAATTATTGAATTGTAACTATTATATGTGTAGTCTTACTAGGACATAAATCCAAAGAATTTATTCGAATACTGTTGCGCTCAAATGCCAGCAATATTATAGCCATCCATATAAATATTTTGGTCTGCGAAGAATGGCAATTCGACAGTCTAATGCTGAGAACCATCAGAGGGCACACTACTAGTACTACGCCAGCGTACAACTTTCTAACAGTATTTTTCCTTAATCTGTTTGCTACGATTAACTCCATGGATAGCAATCCAACCGCTATCGAAGTTATCCAACACATCAGCCACGGTTGACAGACATTAACGCCGTTTTTAACTGCATCGCCGCCCAGAACTCTGGCAGTGTATATGGGCAATCCGGTGGTGATAAAGCTGTACAGGTTTCCGAATCTATACCACGACAGGCCAGAATAACTAATTAGTAAAATGTATGAAATCGCCACTTGACGATAAAGTATGATAAATATACCCAAGAGAGGCAATCAGTAGGCTGATGTACGCTTCGGATTGAAGGGCGGTTTTCCAAGGTGTAGAGAAAACACTCAACGAATGGTTGCTGGCGTCTTCTAACACTTTGTATGGCATTTTGCAGAACATTACCATCCATATAAGCGACCAAAGAATAGCAAAAGTGCCCAATATAAAGAAACTCCAGGAATGTGACGTGTTTGGTATAATCAAGCCGCTGAATAGATGACCACTAAAAGCACCAAATATTGTACCGGAAAACATAAAGGTGGAAAACAAAGCTCTGCTCGACTTGGGAATGATTTTACCAGCTATAGTGCCGCCACACGGAGCTACCGGACCAAACGCACATCTGTCAACACCAATATTGTTTCCTATTCATTATTAAAAAAAAAATCCGCCAATTAGAGGGTAAATAGAATATAACAAAATAAAAAGATTCTAAATGTGAAATTTAGTTTTTTTTTTTTAATAATCGCAAAATTAACTTACTATAAAAAGTATTTTACAAATTATACAGTTTTTTTTTTAAATATAGTTACGTATTGTTATTAAGAAGTAAAATGGACGAATTAGTATTACGACGAATGATTAGTATTTATATGTTCTTTTAATAATTACTAACCCGACAAAAAAGCGGAGGACGAATACGGCAATCCAACTGTGTAATTGCACAGCCGCTATTGGACAGAATATTACTGAAACCGCACTGACGAACATACACAATCCCATTATTTCTCTCTCGTAACCTCTGTTGGCGTACACTCCTCCGGGAAACACGGTGAACAGCATACCGATAAAGTAGGCCGACATCGTAATGCTTTGTTCTTCCAACGACCAGTCCATTCTTTTTTCGTCAATCGTCGAGTTTATGCCAACGTTAATTTCCACACCTGGACAATGGTCATTGTGTGGGGCCGCCACAAGTGGAGATTTCATCATCACCATCATAGAGTAAGTGAAGTGCAATCGAACAGCTATCATGTACGCGTAAGCCAAGAACATCATAAGCAACCAAACGATGACTTGACCCTGTGCACAAATCACATTGCCGATCATATAAATTTATTGAATTTTTAAAACCAATTAAAGTTGATAAAAAAAAGTAAAGTTTTTCGTAACGTTAAAAAATCACGTTCATAAATTATCGTCAACTTAACAAGTTATTTTATAAAAACAACAAAGTTACCTATGGAAAGATCATTATTATCACAAATCGACGATTACTGTACAACTACTATTATACCTATTTTAAACCTTTAAATATAGTGATTATTATTTATCCATTTCTTATAAAACGTTTAATTAGCTATAATTCAGTTGTATAAAATTTGTATTAATTAAACATGGTCAGACCGCGTCCCCCGTTATTTAAATAGTCCGTCAAGCCACACATTATTTACCACATTATGTGGTACGGACCCAAACAAATCTACTTTTATTATAATTATTATGTCCGCGTACTTAGCTACGAACACTCAACGACATAAACACTAAACGTAAGTTATTTTGTTGGTTTGACATTACGACAGTAAGTTGTAAGAAACAGTTAGCAAATAAGTCACCCCAGTCATAATTAAATTTGATTATATAGCATTTCTGCTCCGCTGATTAAAACTTTTGCGCTTGAAAATTGTGTTATGTTTTACTTTTAATATTGCAACCAAATATAAATAATTTGTTGATACATTAAAACACATTACCATAGTAGTTTAAGGTCTATGGATCTTTGCTAGGTATAATTTTTACTTAATACATTTCAAGACGTAACTTACCATTGTGTAGTGTGTGATGTAATAAAATCTTCTTAATCCATAATTTTACATTTTGGGTTTGAATTTCATGATTTTAGCACAGAAACAGTGTAACGTTTCCATGGAAATTTGGAAAACCTCATTACTATTTCAAAGCGACAATACAGAATCAATACAAAATATAAACAAACAAAACATATTGATAGCAATAAATATTTTATACAAACGCCACTACTAGCATTTTTTGAAATTTAATAGGCCAGATGATGCCCGTGCCTAATAAGGTGGGACCAACGAGAAAAATTCTAGGAAAATGTATTTGTTGAGTTAGATTATACCTACTAACATTTTTTCCGACTTTTTTTCAGTAGTTCAATATTTTTATTACATTGATATTTTGGTATTTATTTCTTCAATACAACTTAAAATAATCATAAAAGATCTAGAAAAAACATTACAAAAAAATTAAAGTAAAAAGTTAATAAAACTTAACTTTCCTTTAGTGAGCTAAGTCTTTCTTCAGACGCACGAGTGAGTTGTTGCTCTTGCCACTAAAAAAGTATGTATTTGCTTTAAATTAATGGTTAGTTCGTACTTGTACGCTGTTAACTGTGTAGATGGTCCAAGAAGTTTATCCGTTCTATAACTTAGCCAAAGGCTAGTAGAATCTAACCTAGGAGCGCACAGCCCCCATGAGTCCAACTTAGAGGCCTCAGGTGGAGTTGAGACTTCAGTTCTGGGGCGCAGACCGAGATCTGAGGGGCTCCCCAGGCCCGAGTAATAAGTGAATCCTCATTAATCTTTTAACCAATGCGTATTCACAGCACACTTATAGCCAAAGAGAAATTTACCATTATAATCTATGAAAAGGCTGATTTGTGTCCACCTGATACTTCTTAAATACTAGTATAATCACTAAAATGTGTCGTAAGCATAGTCATGCAGTCGGGTTAGGGGTGGTATTTTTAAAGCAGGTAAATCTTAGTTAATATTTAATTTCTGGTAGTGGAGGAGGTAAGTTTCTTAACTTCACAACACCTACCCCAACTACATAACTATGCATACTTTTTTCGTTTTATATCTTAACAGCAAGACCTGAATTTACTGAGACTCCACAAGCGTTTACGTTAAAAGTTCAACAGTTTCTACTAATTGTTCTACTACTTCCAAAATCGATGGGATCGCCAACTAATCTTCAGGCAGTTCCCTATCTGGAAACTATACGTTTACAGAAAATTATTGTACAAATGTTCAAGTGATTTTATTAAATTCATGTACATACTAAATATACTAAAGGCGGGATTGTTTGGTCGTCTGAATTATCTATGGGGGATCTACTTAAGCGAATATGTAAACTCCTGGGGATTAACAAACTACACACAACAAATACCCATCCAGAGACGAATGGGCATTTAGAGAACTGGAGTGATACTTCAAAAGCTTTATTGATAAAGGGAGTGATAACTAGGACATATTACTATTTTATTCTTCTTTCTGGTATAATACGAGCACGAGATTTTCCCCGTTTGAATTATTGTATGGCCGCCAGCCGGTCATCCCTTTTGTTTTCTACAGAGATCCAGATCCTATGTATACTTTTGACGAATATGTAGTCGATTTAAAAAGTAAAATGCAAGAAACTCATAAGATTGCACATGATAATCTTATACAATCAAAAATTTGAAATAAGAACTACTGTAGTAAGCACACGCTTACTTATTATATTATTATATATTTATGTACTTATTATGTACGTCATTACGACATACACTTTTCAGGTTTCATATTATTTTCTTGACTAGCTATTTGCAACCTGCGTAATTAACTACTTTGATATATGTTGTTAATAATAATTTCTCTTGTTCTAAACCTATTTTATGTTGTTTGTTACAATTTACTAATTTACATATTACTATATAAACTTATCTATTTCTCTGTACAATTGTCAGTCTTCAGCCAGTCAGTTAAAACGTATTTTGCACAGTGCCCATTAAAACAGTTAAAGTTATTTTTCAAAAAGTGTTTTTTTTTTGTAATGAGTTGCTAAAATTAGCTAAGATTAACCAATATTATAATACTTGAGTCGATTTCACCCTGTTTATTAATAATATATTATGTAAAACCTAAATGGGTTCCTTTTTACTTTGTATTTAACTAAAGGTTAACAACACTATAAATGTAGAATATAAATTCAATTTATTTATGCAAATATTAAAAACCGTATACTATGTAACAACTGGAGATTGCGAAAATGTGCAAAAACACATTAAATATTGTATAAATTATTTGTATCCGACAATGTTCCGCGAATTGTAGTGGACACCTTGCCAAATAGCGAAATCACCATCGACCCGGACTCCACATAGATTGAAGATTGCACAACACCAAAAGGTCAATCAGTGCGGGGACATCGACTCCTTCCATTTACCCGGATGGCAATTTTGCGTGAATACCAGCCGATTTGGCATGCGAATTCAGAAGTGTTCTGTCTGCTCAACGCTCATCACACCTGAAAGACGACACTTAATTATTGTTTGTGTATTAACTTCATACGTGTAAAATACATAGCTTACCTTATTTGTATTATTGAAATATTCTTTTCTTTAAAATAAAACCATTTCCATCTTTAATCTTTGTGTTCTAAGTCTGCAAAGGCCACAAACTTAACACTGGCGCAGTGACGGTAGGATTGTCAAAAGCGGCACTGATCATTCCAGCATCACACCGAAGAACAATTGAAGAGTTCCAGCGCTTCTTGGTCTTCAACGCTTCTTTGACGAACAGACGACTCAACATGAACGCTTTATTGTGAGTTAATCTAAAGTATAAGAATATAAGATAAGTTTATTTTAGTTGATTGTATGAGTAATAATAAGCAGGTAGACACTTCTCATGTTAAGGTAGAATTAGATTTATCTGAGGTTACGTTAGAATCTAGTGAGATAAATTTAATTAATTTAGACAATAGTAACAGTAGTACTATTATTATTGATCAGGAATCTGTAACCGACCCAGTAGACCTTTTAAACAAAATATTAAGGAAAGAACCAGATAGGCAGAACGAATATACCTAGAAAACAATGGAATATTAAGTTTAAGTTCTTCTTGTAGAGCCTACAGTGACCAAGTTGTTTTAATACCAGGAAAAGAAATTATTTCTGAAGGATACAACGACTTTATTGCTAACATAACTATACCTGAACCAACATATTTGAATTCAAGGTTCAATAATCATTTCCTGAATGCTTTTTACACTCAAGCTCATTCAATTAGTGATCTTCTAAACAATGGTAAAACCACTAGATAACTTGAAGCCGAAGCTGACATTTTTCACGTTCCATTAATACAAAGCATTTACGAATATGTTCTGTTAGGTCTCAGCATAGCTAACCTAATGATTATTTTGGTTGTGTTATATTTAAATGATATTTTACAATATAATCGCTTGAGGCGAGCTCAAGAGCCAATAAGATTGGACGTATGGTCCACGCAGGTGAAGAAATGACTATGTAAAAAATAACAATAAATAAGAAGTATTTTTATATATAAAAATAATCTTTCAATATAAGTAATTTAAATATTAAACTAATACGGTGAAGGGAAATCAATATATGTATAATATTATATCTATAATAATGTAATAAAACCTGTATTTAGTGCCAACATAAAAATCATAGTGGCCGATTTCGAATTCTTGCCGAAAACGAATAGTGAATATATTGCTGTATCCGGATGCCTCTTGTCGACGCACAAAAACAACCATTCCGTGAACCTATCCGGATTTCCGGAAGTAGTAACTACAACTTGTGCTCCTCGACAAGCCACGCAGCAGGAGATAAAAGCAATGCTTCGGCAATGTAATCGTTTTAAGGCCACAAAACCAGCGTTCGCCTCGTTATTAAACGAGCTGAACAAGGGACTATATCAAAAGGGGCCCTGGACACTAACTTTATCCACCATTTCAAAATATATACATAAAGGTTCACGCAAACCCATCGTAGTGTTTTGGAACGGTAATCATGACTATAAAATATAAAAGCAGTTTGGAGTGACGAATGTCTATAAATATCTGAATATGACCGCCTGGGATAACAACAATGACGGGCGGTTCAATCTAAAACTGATAAACATGGATACCGGGAAAATCTACTACGATGAGTTTAGGAGAGGTCAAAAAAGGGGGTAGGGATCTGAACCTGCGGGAAGTCCATGAGTTAACGTGTACAGAGACACATTCCCCCCACATGTCTTACCATGATCCGTTTTTTTAAACAGTCTCTTCCCGCTGTGTTTTAAATTATATAA